TGTTAAATCTTTTAAGCTTTTATTTTGTTAAAGAATTGACTCTAGAGTGCATATTTTGTGTCCATGAAAAAACTATTACAGAAAATATTACAATATTAAAGAACTGTTCTTGTTAATTTAAAAAACATTTTAAATATCCAGTGCACTCACATCAGAATAACTTTTAGATTTGTTGTTGGAATAATCGATTAATGGAAAAAATAATCGTTTAATCGATTAAAAAATAATCGTTTGGTACAGCACTAGATTTGATGGTTTAATAGCCTCGTAGGACGCCACAAAGTAAACCTTGACTAAACTAAATCCTTGTTTAAACATGACTGAAACAATTAAAATGATTAGAATCAAGTCTGGTTGTTCTGGAGGGAAAGAATTTAAACAGATGTCAGCTCTTTCCTCTGCACGTTCCCACTTCACCTCATTTAGTTCATGTCCTGTTTTTAAAACACAATTTTAACCGTCAGACCTGATTTTTATTTTATTTAGYGGTTTTTTTCTGCTGCTGTAACAGAAGTTTTAGTTTCCAGTGAAACTGCAGCTCAGCAGGACCTGAACCGGTCCTGGTGTGGGTTCACAGCTTCAGATCAGACTCTGTTATTTTAAAGGGCAGCTGAGGCCAGCGAGGGTCCACGTCGAGGCGGCTCCCCCCCCAGCCCGCCCGGCGGACCCCTCCACACACAGCGGTCATTCTTCACCGCCAACACTCGGCTCTTTGTTCGTCACAAGTGGGCTGCGAGGAGCCGGGGGACGGGTTTGAAATGACAAACATCTTAGTGAGGCTTTTAGAGGGGGAGGACAGCGGCGGACGCTTCTGCTGCTTGTTTGTTTACCTGTCATTATGACTCAAAACCTCACCTGCTGGAGTCGCTTCGTTTTGACACAATTTGTTCCGACACACCCTGAATGCCTCGYGCTCCACGCCTCCCTGGATGAGCTTGACCTTTCAAAATAAAACCCATCTAAAAGAATAAAATGAGTTTTCTGTTGCAGGTGTGTACATCCTGATCGCYGCGGGGGCTCTCATGATGGTGGTGGGCTTCCTGGGATGCTGCGGGGCCATCAGGGAGTCTCCGTGCATGCTGGGTCTGGTGAGTCGCTCTCTGGGTTTACGGTTTAGAGCCGCCTGAACGCTGCAGTCCAACCATCAGCAGCTCCTGTTTTATCTGAGAAACTTTGTTTCTGTTCCAGCCTGTTTGCACCTCAGTGTTTGATTTTAAAGGTCTGCAGACACAAACCCACCTGTGCTCGACAAGTTCTCATTAAGACTTTACAACACATTTATGTCCTGGTCCTCCAAAAGACTTCATCACATCAAACCAAAGATTAAATCCTAAAGAAGTGGAGAAACATGCAGCTACGATGATTTAAACATTTGCAACAATTGCAATTTGTTAAATATTATGAATAAATACTTTATTACAGGTGTGTAATGCAGGTTTTAGAGGACCTGAGGAGACCAGTTCTGGTTTTAGAGGACCTGAGAAGACCAGATTTTGGAGGGAAAGACTCCAGCCATTCAACAGTCTTGACTGGGAAGCAGCTGTTCCAAAACCTGCCACACTTCTCTGCATTGATGGAGCTTTTCCAGATGTGTCAGCTGCACATGCCAGAAGCACTAATGCACCCCTATACCATCAGAGAGGCAGGCTTTGACCTGTGTTCTGATAAAGACTGGATTGTCCCTCTCCTTTCTAGAATGATTTTCTGACCCCAGAACCTTTCTCAACATTGTTAGTTTTCAGTGATCTTTGATTCAGAGAAGATGGCATGGATTCTGGATTGTGGCTTCTTCTTTGCCTGATAGAGCTTTAATCATCACTTGTGGACGGTGGTTCTAGGTCCATGGATTGATGTCCAGAACAGAAGCAGAATGCGGTGGCCTCTGAGACCCCGAAGATCATCCAGTCTTGACCTCCAGCCTTTGAGCTCAGAGATTTATACAGATTATAATAATCTATTCATGAGATTATAAACTGTAGATGATGGAGATTAAAACCCTTCTGTTTTTTTAATTAATGAATATTTTTTCTGAAATTGTTCCAGTTTTGAGTCTGTTGAACCTGTTTATTTTTTATACCCAGTCCTCTGACTGACATAACTTTTATCATCTTTTGTCGACCCTGAAACAACTTTTTAAAAGATGTCTTGCTGTCATCAAATTTAAAATGACCTTGTTTATTCTTTAGTTTTTTACTTTAAACATGTGAAATGATAGATGAGAGACAAATAAATTCATGTTTTATTACAAATAAATAAGTTATTTGTAAATGTGTCCAAACAGGGCACTGCAGAAATAAGCCAGTGATGTTTCACATCAAAAGAAGATTAATTTATTATTTTTACTTTTATAAATACTGGAAACTCTACATAAAGTTTATACATTTATTCATGTATTGTATTGATCATTTATGTTTAAATCTGTAAATATTTCATGAAGTTAAAATGATTTGTATGTTCACGGTACATGAAGGTGCTCACAGTTTAATATGAAGATAAATGTGATGTTCTGTTTTGTTTCAGGAGGCTCCGCCATGAAATACTTCTGTTAAATATTGAATTCTGTCTCATGTACTGAATATGTAGATACGATAAATATTCCTTTCTTTTTTCATATTGTTTCACAGCAGGGTTATTTTTTAACAAAGGTCTATGAAGTACTTGAAATAAATGAATAGGTAAAAGTACTTTAACAGAACATTAATTTCACTGATAAGAAAAATACTTAAGTAAAAGTCAAACTGCTCATGCAATAATTACATTTTAACATTCCCTTTGGTGACCATCTTGAATTTTAGGTTAGAAATCAGTACTTTTTGGCAAATTCTCAGAGCTGCTACTACACCAAATGTTAGCTCAATATAAAAGAAAACCTTCAGAATTATAGGCCATTTTTCCTATTTAGTTGTAGTTGTGAATTTTAGATTTGCATTCAGTTTGTGTTGAGGATCGGTTAGCTTTCATCATAACAATTTTTAGCTCAATACTGCATGTTTAAAAATGATGGAGTTACAATATTTTTGCTTTTCCTCCATAACCTGACCCTGTAGATGATGGATGGATAGATGGTTGGATGGATGGGTGGATGTTAGATAGATGGATGGATGAATGGATGTTAGGTAGATGGATGGATAGATGGATGAAGGATGGTTGGAAGGATGGATGGATGGATGGTTGGAAGGATGGATGAATGTATGTTAGATGGATTGATGGATGGATGGAAGGATGGTTGGAAGGATGAATGGATTGATGGAAGGAAGGAAGGATGGTTGGAAGGATGGATGGATGGATGGTTGGAAGGATGGATGAAGGATGGATGGATGGATGGTTGGAAGGATGGATGGATGTATGTTAGATGGATTGATGGATGGATGGA